GGAGAGCATTTCCCGAGAGCCACAGCATTGTTGGGGAGCATTTCCCGAGAGCCACGGCAGTGTTGGGGAGCGTTTCCCAAGAGCCACGGCAGTGTTGGGGAGCATTTCCCGAGAGCCACGACAGTGTTGGGGAGCAACAGTCCCAGGGGAAACCAGCTTGCTCAGGGCCACTCCGTGCTGAGGCTCAGAACCCACTCAGGCTGCCTGGGCCCCCACAGTGTCTCCCCACGGTCTTGTGTTTGTATTATTAGTTTGCCATATGTAAGGATATGTTATTTAAAAAGTAAAACAGATAAACTTAGTCTGAAAGAACTGTAAATTCTGATAAACAGAGTCCTTGCTGTAGTTTCCTCACAAAGGCTTCAGTAAATTAATAACAGATCCACCAAAAATAGGTTCTGGGCTAGAAGTATTTCCGATATGGTTTTCTGATAAAATGGCAAGTGATTGTTCTGTGGTGTGAGATTCTCTGGCTGGGAAGGAAATGCTGTTCTTCATTTAGCTGCACAGAGGCACGTGGCGGGAAGCTGTGACATTATTAATCACTATATTCGGTGATGATTGATGGGCTTTTCTGCAGGGAGGAAGAAGTGCCTCAGAGACAATCTGTCCCAACAGCTCTGCGATATGCTAATATTTTCTTCGGATGAAAGAGGAGATGTGTTCAAATACCTGCTGCAGCAGGCGATTAGTGCCCAGAGTGCCGGTGATGGGCTGAGGAAGCAGGATCAGGAGGATGTCTGGGTTAAGTAGAAGTCTGTGGGTTTTAGTGAATAATCTCAATTTGAGTTTGATGTGGCTTTTAAAAAATTATTATTTGTGTGTGTGTACGAGACGGAAAGAGGGGGGCACATGCGGAGGCAGAAGACAACCGTGTGGAGTCAGTTCTCTCCTTCCTGAACTGAACTCAGGCCCTCATACTTCCAAGGTGAGTTCTTCCATGGACTGAGTCATCTGCTGTATCTTAAAAATAACTTTGTAAAGGCCTTTTTAAAAGACTGCTTGCCTTTTCAGGTGGACTCACCCTAGGGTCTTCTCCACAAGGACAGCACAAGCAGCTCACTATGTACAACTCACCAGTCACCCTGAACACGGGCTGCGTCCAGCAACTCCAAACTCCAAAGCACAGGGCAGCTCCACCCATGCTGTGCAGATCACCTGGTGTCCATTGGACAGGCCAGTCACAGTAGCTCCACCCACACTCTGCAAACCACCTGGTGTCCATCAGACAGGCCAGTCACAGTAGCTCCACCCACACTCTGCAAACCACCTGGTGTCCATCAGACAGGCCAGTCACAGTAGCTCCACCCACACTGTGCAGACCACCTGGTGTCCATTGGACAGGCCAGTCATGGCAGACTGGGTCAACCAGACATTCTGGGATCACAGCACCCAAGACTTGGAGCCTGTTTTACTTCTGGGTCTCTTCCACTTGGAGTGTGGCCTGGCCTTCCTGGCAATTCCCACCATGTGCTGACTTCCCCTGAGGTGTGAGCTGCTCCACACTTCCTAGCCATCCCTGCGTCTGACTCCTAGGTCCCCCACTCGGGGCAGTTCTCTTCTTGGTGAGCCTCTTCCATTTCCACTCACCTCACATGGAAGTCTACAATGTCTAATACTCTGGGCCCCTCCGTTTTGTGTAAGTTTAACTGGCCAGTCACCTGGTCATAGGCTCACCTCTAGGAAGGCAGGTCATGCTAAAGAGACGGGCGGAACACCTAGTGTGTTAATGAGATAGCGAGTTTTTCCTGCCTGGAATCCAGCCTCCTAGCGCAGAACTTCCAGACCAGCTAAGGCCATGTAGTCTGTGAGTTTGCCCACTTCTAAATTCAGAGAAGCATAATCTTTTCATCTCCATACCCCTTTTCTAAACACGCTTTCTTTAAGACTTTGAGCTGCCCTGAGCATCTTGCATTTCTTCACTTTCTCTAAAGCGTCCTTTTCCAGCCCCGTGTCTGACCCCCACGCCTTCCCCCCTCCATTCTCCTCCTCGAGGCAACTGCCAAGATCACCAGCTTGCCTGCCCTGAGGAGTTTTCTTTAAAATACTAATAAAATTGTAAAAGCTTAATTTGACTGATTCGGAACTTTTTTCCCAGTGGTCCCAAACCCCACAACAATAAAACAGGGCAAAAGACCAAATAGGCCTGACCACCTGAACGCACATTGATGCTTCACGTGTATCCCTTTCTGTTCTGGTGGAGTCCTGACCTGGGAATGAAAGATGCATCTGAAGTCTTGGACTTGTCCCCCAACCTGAGGACGAGGCTCTGCAGGGCAGACGGGGACACGGTGACATGGTAGGAAAGAATGGGGAGGGCAGGGCCCCAGAGAAAGAAGGGGAAGGTAGTTGCATTACAGGACAGGTGACCTCATGGTTGGACCAGCTCCATTTACCTGTCTGGTGGAGGTGACACAGCTGGTCTCAGATGCACAGAGGCTCTGGTAATGGGCATGATCAGGGTCCACATTTGTTAAATGCAAAGTCAGCCTCAGCTCCTTTCCTGAGAGGCCAGAAGGCAGGGTGGCCCAGGGGTGACAAGGAGGCAGGAGCCTCCACTTTCCTCACAGCTGTGTGTCGAGGCCAGGCTGTGGGGGGGCGCTTCTCATCTACTGAGCAACCGCACCCCAGGGGTCCACTTGCATCATCCCCCTGCTTGTGCAATGCCCACAGGCAAGTTTGTGGTGAATTCCTCTGTAGAGAGGAGGACAGCAGTGAGAAGCCTGCCCTGGGCAGCTACCGCTCCAGGAGGCCACACAGGGTGCCTGGTTCTCCCTAGATCCCACTGCCCCTAGCCTTTGGGAGCAGGGCACCAGAACACTACAGGCCTCCAGAGCCAGACCTGGTGATGCCCAGCAGAGGCCCAGGTGCAGCACCCAGGCTCGGAGCCCACATAGGCCACAGGCTTACTTGTGACCACCACAAAAGCGGGAGCCCAGTGAAGGAGCGCGTGAGGCCCCAGCAGGACTCAGAGTGACTAGAGTGGAACTTGAGTACAGATTAACCCTGAGCCAGGACCAGGGGGGATCCTCTGAAGCTGTCCTGTGCTGGCAGGAGTGGGCCCCACTGGAGCAGAACCTCTCCACACAAAGCCTTGGGGCACAGTGACTGAAGCCTGAGGATCATCCAGCCCTGCTGTGCCCTGGGTGACAGGTGAAGGCTCAGAGCGCCCAGGGGTTCACAGGACAAGAACCATGAACACAAGCTGGACACTAAATCAGAAGTCAGAGACTGGTATACCAGCCATCAGACAACACTCACTACATAAGGCACTGGGGATGCCAGCACTGGGGCCCAGCCAGTCCGGGGCTCCCCATTTGCCATATGCTGGTTTCAGAAGGCTAGTTCACACTCACACGAGCAGGTCTGACCCCTAAATCCAGGGACATGCAGGTTCTCGACACCACATGTGTTTATAGTTAAAACAACATAATGAATGGTCTTTCATTCCAAACCTTCTGCCAATCCTAAAAGGTGGGCAGGGAGAGGCCTCACTTCGCTAACCCCACAGCTCTCTTCTACTAGAAGGACCTGGGAACTGGACATTGGCTGAGGGTGGGCTGCCTGCTCTGCTCACTGGGGCTGCCATGTTTGTGGTCCAGGGGGGTCAGAGATGTAGTTCTCTGGGTTCCTACATCTTCTCAGGATGCAGTACTTAGCATAACATCACTGGTCACCCATGCTCGGAGCTCCCAGCTTCACCCTGGCACTTCCAATCAGACACCAGTCCTGGCAGGTGGGCACTGCTATCTGCACCAACAGACACAGAGCCAGCAACAAGGATGTGCCTCAGGCCAGCTGGAAGATGGCAGGGCCCGAAGGGGGGTCCAGGGTATGACCAGGTTTGAGGTCAGTCTTGTTTAGTACAGTCAGGGATGTAGGGAGAATTGGGGTTGAACCCTAGATGGCTGAGAACCATGGTGCAGTGGCCCTGGTACCCAGGAGATGGAGTGTCTTGTCTGTCACCCACTCGGGGGCCTTTCACCCTCAGAGCCCTGCTGTGGGAACCTGCAGTGAGGACTCAGACTCACTCACAGGTAGGACTGAAAATGGCATCAAACCTGCTCACCCAGAGTCACTGTCAGGATGGCCGTCCCAAACAGCTGACTTTCCAGTGTTTTGTGACGAGCACGCCTTATGAGGGGACAAATCAACGATGCTCACCCCCAAGTAATTACCCTTCATCTTTACGGGGACGGTAGCCGCCAGGGCTCTGATACACACCTATCACGGTGACACAGGTTTGCGGGGACGCATACTGCTGTGGACTGATAAAGTCTGAAGACTTCTGGGGTGGGTGGGACTAGCCAGAGAACTTGAAGCAAACATTCTGTGGCTCTCTGGTTGGTTTTGATTTTGAAATGTATGAAAGTCTCAGCAGAGTTCAAAAAAGAAAGAAAATGTGTCACATTTCAAACCAACATATTGGATCAAGTAAATTAAGCTACAGTTCTCAAACTGTTCATGGAAGTAACAGGCTCAGATGCATTTTAAAAAGGCTTCCCGCTTCCAAGCGCAGCTTGCCACCCATCCGGCCCGGCCACGGTGAGGTCTAACCTGAGGGGCAAAGCCGCAAAGCCATTAGTCTTTGCTTCTAGACTTTGCTTCTGGCACTGCTCCTAGTCCCTCTCAGGCTGAAAGACCCCCTGCATTAGCGGCACCCGGCAGCCCTGGTTCTTTCCACCATGCTGCTCTTGACTGGCATTTCCTGCTGAAGAGCAACTGTTCAGCCCTCCCACAGAGAAGCCTGCCAGTCTGACCAGAAACAGAGCCTGCAGCCCGCCTGACACAGATCCAGAGTTCACACAAAAGAGAGAATATCCCAGGACTTCTGCTAGTGTCAGTCATTGGGGGCGCTGCCTTCCGTGGCGGTCCTGGTGTTGAACACAAAGGAGCCGCTCTGAGTTGACAGCACAGATGACAAGGCATGGCTCATCTTCCTGGGCTCACAGTCCTGCTGACAGGGGACGGAGTAAAGTACTTTTAAAGACTTTCATTACCTTTTCAGCGATTTGGGCTTCAAGATCTTTGAGCGTACGGCAGGAATCCAGCCCATTCCCATTTCCCCTTAAAAAGAAAATAAAAATAATCTTTGTTAAAATTCCCCCCAGTAGATGCTGAGTTAAAGTCTGTCTAGATCATCTTTTTTTTTGGTCTTTTTGAGATCTGTAGCCCCAGCTGTCCTGGAACTCACTATGTAGACCAGGCTGGCCTTGAACTCACAGAGATCCTGCCTCTCCCTCCCAAGGGCTGGGATCAAAGGTGTGCACCACCACACCTGGCTAGATCATCTTTTAAAGTGCAAGGTGTTTTCGTGCCACAGCCTGAACCTGAGCAGACAGTGGCTTCCCTGTGCCTCAGTTTCCTCATCTGTAAAGTGAAGTACAAAATTTACTCATCCCTGGGAGTGTGGGGCTTTATTGGGCATTACCATATGGCAAGCCTTGTGTGCTGGATAACTTTAGTGTCAACTTGACACACCTGGGTTGAGGGAGCCTCAGTTGGGGAATTGCCTCTATTGGACTGGCCTGTGGCCATGTCTGAGGGGCATCTTCTTGATTGTTGAGTGGTATGGGAGGGCCCAGCCCACTGTGGGTGGTGCCACCCCTGGGTGGGTGGGCCTGTGTTGTGCCAGGTGTTTGAACCAGCGACCCCCGGGCAGTGATGATTGGGGATGCGTAAGCACACCGTTCGCCAGCCCACGCTGCCCCCAATACCGGGAACACTCAGGCACAACGGGGAGCCTAGTCAAGCAGGGACTCATTTATTGCAGGTGTTACAGAGCTTATAAAGGCACCTGGAAATCCCCCCCCCCCCCCCTGCCGCCGCAGGGTGTATCTTAAGGGTGGTCACGCGCTGATCATGCACTCCTCAGCAGTGCGGAAGTATTCTTCAGACTTTCAAAGTAAGCCAGGCCGTGCCCCCAGTAACTTTCTCTTGGACCTATGCAAGGTGGGGCCTTTAGGTCCCCACATGTTGCATGAGAAAGCAGGCTGAGCAGGGGCCAGGGGAGCAAGCCAGTAAACAGCTTTTCCTCCATGGCCTGTGCTCCAGCTCCCGCCTCCAAGTTCCTGCCCTGAGTTCCTACCTTGGGCTCCCGGATGAACTAGGACCTAGGATATGTAAGCTAAATAAGCCCTTTATTCCCCAAGTTGGTAGTGGTCAGAATATTTTGTCACAGCAATGAAGAACAAACTAGGACACCTTGTTTCATCTAAATCCATAGCCTGTTCAGGGTCTGGTCATCCTGACCTCACCAGGGTGGATACAGGGTCTTCACAGACAGAACAGAGACCCATGTGAGCAGGGGGCCTCAGGCTGAGGCTAAGCTCCTGGCCCCAGTGCTGCTACTCTGACCACAGTGGACTCTGTGACATGCTGGGAGTCACTCAGTAAAGGACTTCCAGGCTGTTGTAAGCTTGGGGCTGTTCCAGAGACTCCTTCCGCTCTTCCCCAACTTTCCTGGGGCTTGCAGGATCTGTGTTGCTACCAAGCCTCAGAGCTCTCTTAGGACAGACTGGAAGCGTCAGGATGCTGGGGAGAAAAAACCAGGCCGAACTGCCTGCCCATGACCTCCCACACAGCAGGTCTGGACTATGGAGCCAAGCAAGGTACCATCCCAACCAATGACACTGACAGATGGGAAAAACCAAAAGAGTCAGTGCTGGAGGGATGGCTCAGCGGATAAGAGCACCGGCTGCTCTTGCAGAGGACCTAGATTCAGTTCCCGGCACCACATGGCAGCTCACAACCATCTGTACCTCCAGTTCCAGGGGATCCGACACCATCTTCTTGCCTCTGAGGGCACTGAATACACATGATACATTTACTTACACATAGACCAAACACTCATACATGTAAAATAAAAATAAATAAACCAAACAAAGAAGTTGAATAATAACAGGCACCAGGAAGAAAAAGCAATGGGTGAGGGGTACACTGAGAGTTAAGATGGGGTGAATTTCAGGTGGGGCAGGAAACAAAAGGCCCCTGATCAAGCATCATTTGAAGAGAGACCATGAAGCTGAGACATGATGCAGCTCCCTGGTCCACAGAAAGGGCACAGGCAGCCCCGGGGGCAGGCGCTCGGCATACAAGGATCAACAGTCAGATGCCAGGGACACTGGAGCTGGATGAACAGGTGGGAGGTGTACTGGGGAAGTTTAGAGACGAGGCCACAGCCTGCCTCACAGGTATTGTGGACCATGAAAAGGCACCTGGACTTTAAACCAAGGGAAGATGAAACCACTGGAGCACATCAAACAGAAGTTCACTTCACTTTACAAGGGAGGAGGCCAAGGCTCAGAGGGTTAAGTTCTGTGCCCAGATTCAAGCCAGAACCAGTCAGTGATCCAAGTCTTATGACACTGTTAAATGTAACATTCTTAATATTGTCTTAATGATGTATTCGGTCAATTGAAACATGGCTTACGGCCTACAGTAGAAAGTAAAAGAATGAAAACTACTAGGAAATGTGTCTGCACACACCAACCAGCTGAAGAGACAAAACAGCACCGGTGCCTGGACGGCACAGCCCTGCCTCCCCAGGTGGTTTGAATCTAAAGTGGCCTCTGCAGTCTCCTGTTTTGAACGCTCAGCCCCCAGCTTGTGGCGTTATTTTGAAGGCTTCGGAGCCTCTGGGCAGTGGAGTCTGGCTGGCAGAAGTGGGTCACTAGGTGGGGCTGGCTGAGGCTACATATACCTGCTCTAGGCTGCAGCCTGCCTGCCCTGCTTCCCCGTCCACAGCACGAGCATGCCTCCACCACACGCTCCCACTGCCAGAACTCCTCTGTAACCTTCCTGCTAAATGGACCAAACCCTCTGAAACCATGAGCCAAAATCAACCCCAGAACAATGTTCTGGCAGATGTTTTTATCACAGTCACCCGAAAGTAACAAACACACCCCCAGCCACACACATCCCTGCACTCCATCCCAACTGCACACATCCCTCTGGCCAAGGCCTGGTCTGGAACCCTGTCTCGCTGCCAGCTCCTGCTTTAGCCCGCTGTCCTCCGTGGTGTCTTCCCCTAGCCCGCATCTTGCTGCCAAACTCCATCTCAGTCTGTGCTTCAGGAGACCCCAACCTGTTACCTGCGGATGAATATGAACTTGACAACACCAGCTTTCTCTGAACTGACATTGAACTGCATCTTTTTGATCCTTTTACTGTTCACTTTTGTATATACTTTCGGTTACATTTTCCTCTAACTGGATCTAATCTTTTAAATAGCACGTTTATTATAATTAACTGTTTGTCTTAAATCTATGTTTCCCATAAGTAATACAGCCATATCAACTCTATTTTTGTTAATAAGGAAGATTATTTTCCATCTTTCTTCCTTCAACCCTTTCCTAATTCTCTTCCTGAATGTATCTTCATTTAAAAATCCAATAGCTGGGGGACTGGAGAGATGCCTCAGGGGTTAAGAGCACTGGCTGTTCTTGAAGAGGACCTGGGTTCAGTTCCCAACACCCACATGACAGCTAACAACTGTCCGTAACTCCAGTTCCAGGGGATCTGATGTCCTCTTCCTACCTCCTCAGGCATTGCATGACACGGGTGCACTTACACACATGCAGGCAATACACTCATACACTCCCTGGATGAAATGAATTAGAAATACTGCTATTTGGCCTGCAGCCTTCAGTTTTTAAATATTTCTTTCTTGAAAAAGGGAGTCACTGTGAACTCCAGCTTTGCCTAGACAGGCAATCCAGTCCACATGGGCCTTGACCCCATAGTCCTCCTTCCTCAGCCTCCCAAGTACTGGAGTTGCAGGCATGCACCACCACACCTGACCCTCACTGACTTTAATCATGTCTCTAATCTCCAGAAATTCTAAATAAGCTGGCCTTTGGGGTCATTCTGATGCAAGGTGCTGCCACCCAACAGAGCAGGTTCCTCTCTTCCACATGGGCTCCCTGCTGACAGAGTAACTGCCAGCTTCTTTGCAGCAAACAGCCTCTTCCCCTGCGAAGCCTGCCTTTCGTGGTACAAAGCCGGGTTCTTCCTTCTTCCTCTGGCACTGGCTAACCTGCCTGAAACTGGCTGCCATCTGCTCCCTTAAGGAGCTCTGTTACCACTGCCTCCTCTTTGCATGTGAACTGTGGTATCCGGCCTTGGGAAGCAGTGTCCATGCCGGATGTCTATGAGGGAATTTGCTTGCATGTAGGTAGGTGCACCCATGTCGTGCAGGATGGTTATTAGTTGCCCTGTGGGTGCTGAGAATTGAACCCGGGTCCTCTGCAAGAACAGCCTGTGCTCTTTACCACTGAGCTATCTCTCCAGCCCCTAGGCTGTGTTTAATCATGTATAACTGCAATGTGGCTGAGAAACGCCACATTTTGGTGCTCCATGTGAAGAGGAGACTCACTACTCCAAACTCACAGGTCAGAGGCTAGAAAGGGAAGCATGGAGTGTTGCAGTCATACATTGTAAGCTGTGTGACAAGAGCACAGGCTTTCCTTGATAGCTCACACTGGAGCTAATTCATGGATAGGTGCCCAGAGAAGACCTGAGGAAAAAAATTGTTGGACATGCTCAGTCATACAGAGCAGTGAGCCACAGGACAGCAAGCACAAGGCTTTTTTCCAATATGCAAATTTTATTGAATTTTTGTGCATTTCATATATCTTCTTTTAAATATTTTTATTTTTTATTTTTTTGTCTTTTTTTGAGACGGGGTCTCCTTATAGCCCCAGCTGTCCTGGAACTCACTATGTAGACCAGGCTGACCTTGAACTCACAAAGATCCGCCTGCCTCTGCCTCCCAAGTGCTGGGATTAAAGGCGTGCACTACCACACCCGGCTATTTTTATTATTTTCTGTGTATGGAGTGTATTGCCTGCATGTATGTGAGTGCACCCATATCGTGCAGTGCTACGGAGGTCAGAAGAGGGCTTTGGATTCCCCTGGAACTGGAGTTAAGGATGGTTTGTAGCCACCATGTGGGTGCTGGGAATCAAACCCCAGTCCTCTGCAAGAGCAGTCAGTGCTCTTAACTGCTGAGCCATCTCTCCAGCCCCTCATACAATACATCTTAATCATATTTAGGCCTCCTCCCC